TCTGAATTTCTTTACTCAAGCATGGAAACTATTGATTGTTTTCTGGTTGGGAGGAAAGCAGTATGACTAAATCAAAGAGGTACACTTAACTGGAAACAATTATTAAGAGTCTCAATTTCAAGAAGAAAAGAATTACAGTTTGAATTTTGTGGTTTCTTCTTTTTAAAGAGGGTACAAAGTACTAATATTTAATACCTTTTATAAAAATATTGTGTGTGCATTTCTGTCTTAGCCTATGGGCATAGGTGATGAATGACTATGTTTTAATTGGAGTTTTTAATTTGTCAAAAATAATTGAGCAAATATATTTTAATTGCATTTATAGTAACAATACTAGGTAGCTGAGCACTGTGCTTTACATATATCTATTTCCTATATTCTAAGAGTGCATTATTTTCTTGAAGTTTAAGAAATATGTAAGCTTTAAGCTTGAGAGAAATAAGAAGATATTGACATCAATATGGGCTGAAGTCACAGGCATGAATGAGCCAAGTGTTTATAACAATAGAGGAAAATGGCCTTAGAGTTGAAAAATATTTATGTTGAAGAGTGGAGCTGGAAGATTAGGGTTTGAATAGCTACAGTATAAATAGATTGTGGAGTATTTTAATGACAAAGTCACTGTTTTTGATTTAATCTAATAGAAATTGCACATATGTATAATATATGTATATAAAGTTTCATGCTCTTAATGAGAAAAATGAAATGAAGTTCTTTCATAAATACTAATCTTAAAAATACTCAATGCTTAGGGAATACTTTTCTTTTTTAATACATACAATATAATAGTAAAATAAAATAATTCCTTGAAATATTTAAAAATGGTAATGACAACCAGGTAAACATGATGAAATGAAAATCATTTACAAAATTCTCCTCCTTCAGTGCTTTAAAACATACTAAATAAAGCAAGCAAAATTACTAACAATAACCAAACAAATGTAAAGGGACTCAATATGTAAATCTTAATAACAAGAAAGAAAGTGAAGATGACATGAATCTGGCTCATGATGTCTTCTAAACCCTCTCCATGGATCTCTAAGATATTTTAATGGGGCAAAAGGTACTTCATTAAATCCAGATAATTCTTTTATTTTCTAACTTAGAGACAGATTGAGGAGCTTAAGTAAAGGTGAAGGATATATCTTAGAAAAATACTCTAAAGGTAGAAAAATCTTTTCAATTTTCTGTGGCATCTCAGCAGAAGCAGGAAAAACTATCAGTGCCTATCAATTTTTAACCAACTCATAGAAAATAACCAGGAAACTATGAAATTTATACTAAAATAATTGTCAGGCATACAAAACAGAAGTAAATCTGGGAGAAATCTTAAGTCTCTCCCTCCCCAAAATATCCTCATGCCTTTTTGTTCTATAGAAGAATTCAGAAAGAATCTGAATTTAAGAGAGTTAAAAACTCAAAAGATGGTACTGCAAGAGATTAATATTGATTGAATACCTAAGGGAACAAAATTAAGATTAGTACAGTGCTATTATAGAATTAGTCCATTAGAAATAGGAACAGAATATAATGAAAGTCAAATTACTATTGTAGAGGGGAAAATTGAGATAATCTGTGTATTCCAATTAAAAATTAAATGGTAGCTAAAATAGATAAGATGTGAATGATGATAAAGGCATCCAACATATGGATATATATATATCAAATAGAAAAACCAAGAATTTCTTCAGGAGACTGGAGGAAAATTTTCTTGAAATGATCTGATTCTGTATGATCTAACAGGCATATTTAGGAAAAATTGAGAAATAACAATTAGCAATAAAACTTACTCTGATTTTGAAATTCCCCATAAAGAATTTAGGAAGACACCTAGGTGTAAAACCCCAAATGCGCAACATTTATAAACAGGAGGATAGCTTGACCTCTTAAATCTCCACAATATTCACTCTGAAACTAGTGAAACATTATTTATAAACTTCAGAGGTAATGAAAGTGGAATCCAATAATTTTTACCAAAGCCAAATTGTCCTTTAGGAATAAAGAAAAAAGGAAAAAGTTTCAAATATGACATCTGAGTATTTGGAAGAAACTGCCTGACATTGATATCTTCCCAATAAAATGACGAATGGAGAATGAGTGAATGACCAGTGGAGTATAACAAGCATCAGGAACACATGTAGCTTAAAGGTGGTGGCACAGTGACTACAAATCTGTAAAGGAAAGAAAGTATGAACCAAATTTTTATTCCTAATGAGCTATTCTTGAAGTCCAAAAGCAAAAACTCTTTATAAAATGGAAAACATTGATTTCTGTAAAAAAAAAAAAAAAAAAGAAAAAGAAAAAAAACAGAAACACACACAAAAACCAACAAAAAAACCCAAGAAACTACTTGCAGATGTTCATCTAATAAAGAAGTAAATTAAAATGACTTTAGAAATAGAGTAATTTTGTCAAAAAATTTCCTTGGAAGGTAGATATATTATGTCTAGATTATGTGAATTATAGCGACAGTATGGAATATCAATCTATACTATAAATTATAAAATAATATGATTGACTAGATTGAAGCCGTGGGTGGGAGTTAAAATGTGCTGTCTTCTATCTCACAGAAGTAAATCAGTTAATACTGATTGACAAATTGAGTTGTCATGTCCAGTGTTTTTATTCTTCCCAAGACATCTTCTCTTAGCCTTTAGAACCTAATTTACCTTTTTGGGGTGGAGAATTATCTGAAGTTTAACGATGCCTTCAGTTTTACTACATTTGGTTTTCTTTTACTAAAATTAAAGAATTAAAAATGATATGCATAGCATGATCCCTTTTTAATAAAATGCATTTATGATTTTAGTCCTTTATTCTTTTGTCCTTCCAGCCTACTACATTTATTATTCATAAAGTATTGTTGGAATGATCCTTACCTGACATTCAGAGTAATTATTTTTATGTAGTGGTATTTTAGATGATTTTTTTTAACTTTTAAAAAAACTTATCCATATTGTTAATTTTAAGAAAATACACCATTTTCCTTGATACAAGTCTTTTTTTTCTGTAAAAAAAAAAAATACTGATGGCAAAGTTTTTCTTTTTAAACTATTAAGCCTTTTCTTTTTAAACTCTTAAGACATGAATGTTTCTGTCCTCAATGATCCCAGACTCTGCCCTAAAGAATTTTGGTTTTTTTAATCCTTAAAAAGCTAAATCAGAATATTGCTCATGTTCTCATCCTAGACCTCATTTATGTATATGCAAAGGATCTTGAAGTAAGTCATTTTTTCTAAATTCAGAATTCAGTTGTGCATATTTGTCGAAATTAAGGTCTGATATGGTGGCCTTATTTCATATCTTTCAAGTCAGAAACTTGGCAAGATGTGAGATTATACACTATTTGCCTGCAAGTATGTCAGCCTGACACAGAATAGATTTTGGCAGGAGACCTGAGATTATAGGGTCAGAGAATAGACAATTTATTACAATGACAGTAGCAGAAATTACAATGTTACACTGGTTTTCAGAATTACAATTCCCATGCAGAGATAAAATTAGGGTTAGATGGTGCCAGGCAGTGTAATGCTTAAAAAGATCCTTGATAGTAAATAGGAGACCCTCATTTTATGCAAGGCAAATCAGCCCATCTTCCCCTTAGGAGATAGAGATTATTCTTATTATCCTGGAATGTCATGCAAATCTGCTCCAGGGAAATGTCTCCATCTTTATTTTCTGGAAAATAAACAAATCTACTCTAGGAAGAGACATATCTATCTATGCAAGTCTGCCTGTTATGCAAACATACTTGGAAAAGATCTGGAACAAGTTAGCTGTTCATGCCTTTGAAAATGTTCAGATACATGAGAGCCCCTTGAAAAATTGTCTGCCTGCAATGTGTAGAAGTTGCTTTTTGATCAAGCTTAATATTGCAGAATGGAAGCTGATTTATTTTTTTTGTTGTTGTATTAACAATGTAGTTGATAACTATAGAAGGGTTTTTTTTTTTTTTTTGCTTTTTAAAAATCTTTTTGAACTTTGTGCTCAATAAGAACGACAAACTGAGCTGAAATTCTTATAATGAATGAGCCTACTAATTTCTATAGCAAAGCTAAGACCTTGAAATCTTTACTTCCCTCTCTCATTCTCCAATATTTTGTCAAAGTTATATAAAATTAGGCTACTGAATAGATACTTCTCTTAGAGGTGCAGAGTTTGATGTTTTACGTAGAAACAGCATTGTATTTTAGAACTTTAAATTGTAAACTATTCGAAATGTAATGCCAGTATGAATCACTGCAGTGTGAGTTCCTGTAGAATTATGATGGAGATATAACAGATCTGTTGCTTAGTAATTCCCAAGTTTTTCTTCAAATTAGAAAAGTCTTGAAGCATGTTAATTAGTATATTAAGCTATATGTAATAAAAATCTTATCAGGAAAGTTTCTGTAATATATGTCTTATCCTTTTAAATCTAGTCTGAGACTGCTGCTTGTAATAAGTTCTTTGACAGTCTTTCTTTCATAGCCTCTTTTATCATTACTCTAGTTCAAGTCTTATTTCTGTCACTTACATTGTTGTGATAATTTGTTATTGCTTTCCCTGCCTCTAGTTATTCCATGTTTGGTGAAGTTGATTCATTGTAACTGTGGTGTTTAACATGCTTCCAGATTCCTACAACCATCCCTGCAACCTTTCCATTTTAGTCCTTCAACATCCTCTGCAGTACTTCTTTGTATAAGATAAACCAGACTACTTGCCTGTTAATGAATATATATATACACACACATACACAGACATATATGCACATTTTTTTCTATCTGAAACAATTCCTTATATACTGATTTGCTAAAATAATATTTATCATTCATGGCCTAGTTCAAATGTTTTATTCTTGCTAGCCTGATAAACTTAGTCCTGAATTTATTTTTATATATGGTTCTTGGCTTTATGTGTCTGTTTTATTGCAATTATGTGCTCCTTTGTAATAAAGATGTTTATGGTCATGTTTGGTCAATCTAATTTGTAAACTGTTTCCTGTACGCTTTTTTTCTTAGCATGTGAAAGTCACATCTGGGGCTCTGTGTCATGCCAGTGGAGATCTTGAGCAAATCATCTCAGAACAATGCTATAATTTTGTTTGTGTGAATGTAAGTAGTCAACACAAATGATTGAAAGCACTTGAGGATGTATACAAATGTGATTTGGAAGAGAAATAGTTTCTCTTGATTTTTAAATTTTTTGAATATATTGTGACAGAGTTGTAATTTAATATTTATTGGAAAATTTTATTTTTTACCATAGAAATAGGGAAATAACACTTCCTAATATTCGATTTCCCATCATGAGAAGAGGGTGATTTTTTTTATTTTTAGACAATATTTTCAATTTTCTGTTTTGGTATAAAGTAGATAATAAGACATGATAAGTAGAAAATTGAATTAATGAATAGTTTAAATTTTAATATATATAACATGGGTATTCTTTAAAATTGTTTAAAAATTAAGCTTGATAAATGTTTTGAATGTTATATAAAATCTCTTCTTAAATTAATATTTAAATCATTTAAGAACTTTTTTTCATTTCCTTCTGTTTTTTCCTCCTCTTTCAGATTATGACCTCTGATTTTCAAGAAACCCAGAAGTTACTGAGTATAGTTGAAGAGAGCAATCTGTCTATTTTATATCCGGTTGTTGTTGTTTCAGTAAGTGAATCAATGCAGCTTTTTCTCATACTTCTGTTTCCTTCTTAGAACTCAATGTTTATATTTAACAAAATTTCATCCAGTTGAAAGTACCAACCTAAATTCAGAAGAAAACTCTTCCCTTCTTTGTGGATTCCTCAGCTTACCCTCTTGTACCACTTCTATGACCAAATGCCTTTGTTAATGCAATCCATTTAGTTGAACTAACAGGTAAACTATTTAATTCAACCTAGAAACTGATTACATTTTTTTCCCTTCATTGAAATTGCAAAGCGTATGGCTAAGTTGATTAGTTGTTTGGATAATGTGAAAGAGCTTTATTTAGTAAATTTCCAGAATGCCTTTAGAGAAGAAATCCAGAAGTTAAAAATAAGAGGAAAAAAATCTCATGAAAGAAAATTTATCCTTGGGTTGTTTCATATTCTCTGTTCCATGGAATGCAAACATTGAACAAGATAAACAGATTAAAGAGAATTCCTAGAAGAATGGCACAGGAAAATTTTGGGGAGATTTTTCTGTGAAGGACTAAAAGTATATGTTTAGTACAGAGTTTACTTGTTTAGCCTATTAAACTATATAGCAGAGAGGAATAGTAGCAAAATGAGGAAGGAACAAGATCAGAGGCCAAACAAGCCAAACAGGATGAGAAGCAGGATCTGTAGTCAGTAGCATTTTGCTGTGGAAAGGGGTATCCAAACATTAAATTCTCCGAAGTGCTTATCAATTGCCAAATTCCTAAAGCTCTAGCCTATCCGATAGTGTGGGAATTTATGGTAAGTAATAAAGATAATAATTTGCAGTATAAATAACTCTAGGCTGAGCAATGCACGTAGAAGCAAATAGCAACTATGGGAGGTTTAATTAATTCACTGGCCTGTTATATTTCGTTATGTGCCCTAAAGATAATTTCCATGGGTGTACTTTGTTATGGAAACTGAAGGTCCACACATGACCGATTTTCACAGAATCATAGAATCTTTGATTGAGCTTTTTAGGAAAATTATAGAATGTACCAATGCTGGAAGGCTTTATGGCTCTGTAGGATAGAGGTAAGTTCAGACTTCTATGTTTGGCTCTCTTTTCCTTTCTCCACATTTACTTGCTTAGAAATCTCATTTGTTCCATGTTTCCAGGTATGCTGAAGAGGCATTACCCTATAGTGAAAAGAGAAAGGGCATTGAACTCAGATGCTTCAGTTCCTTGGTCAAGTTACTTAACATTTCTGAGGTTTGGTTTCCTCAGTGTAGAAATGAGGCTAATAACTTTACTTCTTAAGTTGTTATTATATAAGGATTAAAAATGAATGAGTACACAATGTAGCTGAGAGCACGGAGTGGGCCCTTGGCAGGCATGGGATGTTAGTTTTAATAGTGTAGCTCCCCTTCTTTCTACTTTGGGTGAGACAACTCCACATTCATGTTCACTGCTCTATTCTGATTCCTGAGCGTTAGTCATACATTTTCCAACATTCTACTTGGTTCTTCCATTGGATTACTTCAGTTCTTAAATTTAGCACAGGTCTATCACAAAAGCATGTTCGCCAAAAGTTGACTTCTCCTAATGGTGGTACAGTTGGGACAATATGGGCACCCAGGTTGGAATCTGTCATCGCTTTTTTCTTTTTAATTATCATGGGTACATAATAATTGTATGTATTTAAAGGGTACATGTGATGTTTGATTACGGGCATACAATGTGAATTAACCAAATTAGAGTAATTGGGTTATCCATCACCTCAGTTATCATTTCTTTGTGCAAGTTTTCCTTTTACCTTTGCCTCTCTGCCTCTCTCCACCAAATGTGTGCATGTACACACACTTATTTTTAAACTGGTGGTTCTTCTGTTCATTGCTACCATGTATTTCAACACCAGTCCTTTCTCTTGTTCCCATAAATATTTAAATTTAGTTTTCTCTTCCCATTGAGTTCTATTTCATGTGCTCAAGTAAATACTGGAGTTGTTTGGATATCTGGTGTTATGTGTCAAACTAAGGGAAAAGATGGACAATCCTCTAGTTATGGTAGAAATGTCTCTCAGAATTAGTTTTAGAATAATATTAGTATGTATACTATAAATCCATATAGTAAAGCACTATAAAATGTTTATTTTAAATTGATGGATTATCACTCCATAAGGAATATTTGTATGCAGGCATATTTCATTTTATTCTACTTGGCAAATATTGCATTTTACAAATTGAAGTTTTGCAGCAACCCTGCATTGAGCATGTCTATCAGAGTGATTTCTTCAACAGCATCTACTGACTTCATGTCTGAGTCACATTTTGGTAATTCTTATAATATTTCAAACTTCTTTATTATTATTATATCTGTTATGGTCTGTGATCAGGGATTATTAATGTGGTTATTATAATTGTTATGGGGTGCTATGAATTTATACCCATATACGATGGTAAGCTTAATTGAAAAATGTTGTATGTGTTCTGACTGCTCTATCAGCCAGCTGTTCCCTAATCTCTCTTCCTTTCCTCATGCCTCCTTATTCCCTGACATACAGCAATACTGAAATTAGGCCAATCCATAACCCTTCAATAGCCTCTTAGTGTTCAAGTGAAAGGAAAGGTCATTCACTTTCAATCAAAGTCTTTCACTTTCAATCAAAAGCTAGAAATCCTAATTCACACCAAGGCCCTAACGATTTTCAGTTCTATAATATGAAAGCTAAAAGAGGTCAGGAAGCTACAGAAGAAAAATTAGAAGTTAATAGAGGTTGGTTCTTAATGTTTGAGGAAAGAAGTTATTTCCATAACAGAAAAGTACCAGTTGAAGCAGCAAGGGCTAATGGAGAAGCAGCAGCAAGTTATCCAGAAGATCTAGCTAAGATCATTAATGAAGATAGCTACCCCAAACAACAGATTTTCAATGTAGAAGAAAACAGCCTTATGTTGGAAGAAGATGCTATGTAAGACTTTCATGATTAGAGAGAAGAAGTCACTGTCTAGCTTCCAAGGTCAGGCTGACACTCTTGTTCAGAGCTAGTGTAGCTGGAGACTTTTAAGTTGAAGCCAGTGCTAATTTACCATTCTAAAAATCCTAGAGACTGTAAGAATTATGCTAAATCTCCTCTGCCTGTGCTCTATAAATAGAACATCAAAGCCTAGATGACATTATGCTTATTTACAGCATGATTTACTGAATATTTTAAGCCCAGTGTGGAGATCTGCTCAGAAAAAGATTCCTTTTAGAATATTACTACTCACTGGTCATGTACCTGGTCACCCAAGATCTCTGATGGAGATGTACAGTAAGGTTAATGTTTTTTTCATACCTTCCATAACGTGCATCAAGAAATAATTTAGATTCTTCTGTCTTATTGAATAAGCATGTTTCATAAGGCTGTAGGTGTCATAGATAATGGATCTGGGCAAAGTAAATTGAAAACCTTTTGGAAAGGATTTACCCCTCTAGATGTCATTAAGAACATTCATGATTCATGAGAAGAAGTCCAAATATCCACATTAACAGGAGTTTGGAAGAAGTTGATTCCATCCCTCATGAATGACTTTGAAAGGTTCAAGATTTTAGTGAAGAAAGTAACAGCTGATGTGGTAGAAATAGCAACAGAGCTAGAATTAGAAGTAGAGCTAGTGAGAATGGCCCGTATCAAGAAATCCCAAAACAACAAATGCTGGCGAGGATGTGGAGAACAGGAACGCTCTTACACTGCTGGTGGGACTGCAAATTAGTACCACCTTTGTGGACAAGAATTTGGAGATATCTCAAGGAGCTAAAGATAGAAATACCATTCGACTGGCAATAGCATTATTAGGCATCTACCCAAAACAGCATAAGACATTCTATTATAAAGACATATGCACCCAAATGTTTATGGCAGCACAGTTCATATTGCAAGGGCGTGGAAACAACCCAAGTGTCGTCAATTCATGAGTGGATTATTAAAATTTGGTATATGTTTACAATAGAATATTACTCAATTCTAAGAAACAACAGTGAGCTAGCATCACTTATATTATCCTGGATTGATCTTAAGCCCATTATCCAAAGTGAGGTAACACAAGATCAGAATAATGGGCTCCATATATACTCGCCATCAAATTGCTGAAAGGGTGGTGGTGTTCACCAGGGCTTTGGGGGTTGGAGGGGTAGTCCCACATCTGTGGGATGGAGTGAACATTGTGGTGGGGAAGTGCATACCTCTAATCATTCCTAGGGAGAAGCAAAGATATAAAATGTAACCAAAACGTTAAGAAAAAAAGAAAAACGAACACTTGTCAGGTGTGGGGCAGGGGTGAGGGTGGAGGAGGGGATGGGTATATACATACATAGTGAGTGTGATGCACAATGTCTAGGGGATGGACATGTTTGAAGGTCTGCCTAGAGTGGGGAGGGGAGACAAGGGCAATGTATGTAAAAAAAAAATCTGAAATATCAAAAAAAAAAGATTAACTGAATGTACATGTTAATGTCTTATTTGTAAAAATAGGTATTTGAGGTTCTGAAAAGTTCAATTGATTTTCTAAGGTCACTTGGTAGAGTTTGGACTCATTTTCAGCTTTCCTAGATCACCGGATAAGTTTTTTTCTACTATATAATACTACATTGATCACATTTGTGATTTGTGGTTTTAGTTTTTGTTGTCATTTCTAAGATAAAATTTGCATAGATTGAAATGTTCAGATATTAAGTGTACAATTTGAGTTTTGAGAAATACATTTGTCTGCACAACCAAAAAAAAAAAAACAACAACAAAAACTAGAGCCTGAAGATGTGACACAATTGTTATAATCTCATAAAACTTGAACAGATGAGAATTATTGCTTATGGATGAGCAGAGAAAGTGATTTCTTGAGTTGGAATGTAGTCCTGGTGAAGATGCTGTGAACCTTGTTAAAATGACAATAAGAGAGTTACAATATTACATAAACACAGTTGATAAAGCAGTGGCAGGGTCTGAGAGGATTGGCTCCAATTTTGAAAGTTTTTCTGTGGGTCAAATGCTGTCAAACAGCATGAGAAAC